ATTATGGAGATCCTATCATTTCTTTTTTTCACCATGTTTTTTTTTTATTATTTATGTACAGCCTTGCTAAATCTTGCTAAGCATTCAAATGAGAGAATGTTTGCACCTGTTATCTATATTTTAAAATCGTTTTTGAGTATGTTTCACTATTCACAATTCTACAAAATTTCAACAGTCTATAGCCAAGACTTTTTGGATAATAAAAAGCAAAAAAAAAAAATTGTCACTCCAAAGTGCCCACGAACCTGCATCTCTACCTTAAAAGTGCAACTACATGTACTAGAGAAATGCATTAAAAACAGAGCAAATACGATTTTCAGGCTAAATTGTACTCACCGTTGCATCAGTAAAGACATGTATTGGGTCAGTTTGGTTCACACTATTAATACTATAAATATATCTTGCAATTGACTCTGCAATTATTTTGATATTACGACACAATACATCAACATCAACAGATGACCTGTGAAGGGAATGCATATTTAACAATAATCATAAAAGGGGAAGCAACCCTGGAAATACTGGTAATCGTTCCATATTTGCATTTCCAAACACACGGTAATAGTGCATTGTTTGCCAGTCATAAAGATGAAGTCCTGTTAAGACATGTGAAGTTTGAATGTGATTGGTGCAGGCATGATACAGGTTAAGAGACACAGGTCAATCTAAGTTCCTGTTTCCCTACAGTGCCATATTTTAGATTTAGATGCTCAATAGTTGGCTAGCATCAAATACAACATTGTGGTTCATTCATTTTTTGTTATACCTTTCATCTACTATAGAGTTTCTATGCAGATCTTTATGACTTTGTAGATGTGACAGTGTACCAGCTGGCAATCTTTTAATACTAAAACGTTCATGTTCCCAAGCTAATAAATCATCAGCTAAATTTATTTTCTTATGAATCAAACTGAAATTAACATCTGGATAATGCATGTCAGATACCGACTGTAACTCCTGTAAGAAAAACGAGAAATAACAAGTGTGAGTCCCTGGCTGCTTTGCTTTGATTTAATTTTGTTGCATTAACAGGTTCTGACTAAGCAGGAAAATACCTTTAACTGGAGTGTGAAGTAACGACTTGGCTTATAACATGGCTTGGTTCTTTGTTGAAACCCGCATATCGATTGGAATGTGAATAATGTCATTTAAAATAGACATTAGAATTCATGCAACTGCCAGGAACTTTATTCTATTGTTCGATTTCTAGTGAAATTGGCATAAATTTAGATAGTACAGTATCAGTGGTCAATAGTGAAATAACATTAACAAAAATGGCCACAACAAAAGATATTTTGTTTTACTGCAATCATGTTAGCAGTTGTTTTTGCCAAGCGCCCAATACAGGATTTGTATGTCACATGACAGTTCTAAAATCACAGATACAAATTCCTTTGACATACCTGTAATAACTGATACGATGTTGTGCCTTCCTTTGGTGGTTTTGATACATGCAAATATAGATTATCAGTTGCACCAATTGAATCAAGACAGAACACGTATGATACATCTGATAAGAGACTGGAATCTATACAAACACAAAACCAAAGAATTCATCTGAGTATTTCAAACAAAAATATTTGCAAACTATCCAATTTAAAGATATAAATAAGATATACTGTGGGCCATTTATTTTCATTGCAAGAATTTTTTAGGATTTGATGGCAATTCGTGTCAAGGAGTCCAAAGAAATTTTTACTGCTACAAAATTCAACAATTTTCACTGACTTGAGCAATTCACAAATATTTATCGTGCCTCACTTCTTCCATGTAAGCATTCAATTATTTAGTTTAACAGCTGTGGTGTCTATAACGCAGCAAAATAACAATAAGAGACATGTTAAATACAAGAACATATCCTTCTGTCTTTATTAAAGACAGAATCGCCTTACCAGCAGTTTCCACATTGTCTTCAATCCATTTTTTAGTTCCCTGGTAGTTAAACTTGCCACCACCCGAAAGAAGAAACAATAAGTTGTATCTTGTGGTTAAGGAAATATCAATGACGCTATTTTTACATTTAACTGTTTGAACTCATAGTTACACGAGTACAGTGTTATTTCCACTATTACTTTCCTTCCTACGTTTGCAGCAAATATGAGTTAATTATTTCTTGGTTATATTGTTATTTTCACAAGCTTCCCCATAATCCATCGGCCAGATGAGAATGCCTCTACACCTGAGCACAATATTGGTAGTAGCTTGAATACACACTATACAGTCAGTCAGTACACTGCCATACATGTATGTGAATTAATTAATTAAAAGGATACTTTGCATGAGTTCTGGAACTTGTGAAGAGTTTAGAAAACAACCTCGCTAACTCCAAGAGTGCAACTACACCACTACCATTAGAATCACTTCCAAATGATAAATGCTATTGAAATAAAAGACAGACAAGTTTAGTAACTAGAAGGGATGAACACTCATTTTATCTGCACCAACTCAACTTGTAAGACATTGTCAATGACTTGGGTCCTTTTTGACAGTTGATGACAGAAACAAGGGAAAAGAATCTGAACTACCGGTATATTTTGATTTAAAGAATATTTTATATAATAAAAACAACTAAAACAAGGAATATAACAGCAATAATAACGACTTACAGGAGCCACACCAAAGGCATCATAATGTGCTACAATTGCTATTGAAGGCAACTGATCTTCAATTCCAAGACCTGATAATTTACCCTATAATATAATAAAAAGTTATTAGGATTTTGTGTAATGCATTATGTACAAGGTTTGTATTACTGCGCATTCTACATGTATTTATCTTGGTCTTAAAACAATTTAGAATCAATACCTGTATACTAGTGACTGGCATGTCTTTGACTGCTTTGGCTTGTGGACCATTGACTACCATTTGAAATCCGTTAGCATACACAGCACTCAGTAAAGCTACATATCAGACAAATAAAGATATGTGTGACCCAGTTCATTCATACAAATACATGTACATGTATGTGTATGCGTAGAGTCACTTGCATTAATTGTCAAACAAATAAATATTATATGATGTATAGAGAGGATCTCATGCGAGTAACCCTTGTCGTGTGTCTTCAGTGCAAGACCAGATCAAATATTAGGTCCAAACCCAAACAAATTTGCTTCTCATTATTTTGGGCAACTACATGTATAGTGTTGAAATGATTTTGAATGGGCTTTGTTAAAGACAGTAAAACAATTAAATCTGGAAAACGTTCTTAAACCTCATTAAGACTAATCGCTGGAAATCACAGCATTTCTGTGCATCTGAATTTTAGCAATCATTTGTTTCTCATTAGACTGTTTGCTCTAATTTCATCTGCACTTTCAGATAGTGTTCTGACCAAGATACACTTTTGTTCCAAATTACCGGTACTGTGGCTCACACAGCAAATTGACAATGCATCTTCAGCAGCTTACATAAATTCAGATAATCATACATTTCACATGCCAGCTAGAAACATTGTTTTGCATATGTATGGTACCCCACAACTGATTTGTTTTGAACACTGAACAACATTGTATGATTGCATTGGTTCAATTAAACAATGACTTTAAATTCAGTAGTACATGTGTCTACACATAGTTCAAAATTAACAAAATTTCTGGAAGCCTGGTGGTCTACTAATTTTAAAAGTTGGTATCCTGTGATAATATTGGGTAATCAATCAGGTTTAGTAATCAATCAGGTTTAGTAAGAGTTCAACCTTTTCACCATCAGCTTTTTCACCCAAATTTTTCTGCACTTTTTATCTTATATTCATCAATATTTCTAGAAATGAACCCTAATTTTGGAGCCAACAGACAAAATTATGCTCAATTTTTACTCAAAAAATTTGGCTATTTTTGTCAGTCCCAAACTTCTGATTACAACATGTGCATTTGAAAACATGGCAGCCCTGGGATTAGAATTGATTGTCTGTATTCCTTGGGCTACTGCAAATTTCAAGCTCTGGTGATGCATGTGATGTAAGTTTTACCTTCCGCTGCTGAGGCAGCCTGGTCACTATTAACAGCATGCTGTATATCACTATAAATATTTAATAAGTTATCATCTTCATATGCAAAATATATGGGAACATTGGTCTGTTCTGTCAGCAACTGAGGTTCCAATTCCAACCAGTTCTACAAATTAAATACCATAAACATTGAAAGTAAATATACGTGTCATTTGCATGGATTTATTTAAGCTACGTGTAACTGGACAGTGTAAATTTGCAATATAAGCACAAAATGACTGCCAATCGACCATTTAGGAGGGATTGTGACACAAATCAATTTACATCTTTGGAAAACACATTGTCTTTGTACTAAGTTGGAAAATTGCATTATCAAGTCTTAAGCAAAAATGACTTGATGTACAAAAGGCAGCAAATAATAGATACTGTATGCTCCAACTGTGCATCACCAATATTCTAAGTTTAAACAAAATCTGTCTCGGCAACATTCAGATAATGCTCTGCCACATTTTCATACATTTTGTGGGCAAGTTAATTAAGAAATTGTTACATGTATAAACATCTGTGATTTTTGTTGCCCAAAATTTAACAAATTGGTTATAGTGCAAATTAAATACAATGTAACTACGGTACACCAAATAAACATGGTATTTTATTGACAACCAGGGATAAAAAAAAATTCATAGAAATTTCAAAAACTGTAGTCTGTTTTTCAAAATTCACTCATATAAGACCAAACAACAAATCTGCAGTCATTGAGAATGATTAAAGAAATGGCATGTGAAATGATCCTCTCATCAGAGATTACACATAAGGTTATTACTGGTATTATGAACACAGCAAATAGTGTAGACACATCAATCAGTATGATAGCACTACACCAATGAATAAATGATTGAGTTTGTGTCCCAATAGAAACAGTGTGAATATCTGGTAGATCAGGCATCAATGAAGTATTATCATGAGAGACAATTTGCATTTGTTGAATACTGAATAATTAAAATAAGACATTTTAATTAATTTTTATCTTTTGCATAAAATTCAGGATAATTCTTTCAAAAATATTCTTCAGTGTCAATTTTTCACTCAAATTCTAATACAAGAAAAAATAAAATTTACAAAATAAAATAACTGCTAGTAATACCATATAGGTGAAGTTTTCCGCTTGAATTGCTGTACCAACCTGCAGTTCGTTTTCAGACATAGAACTGAGACTGGATGGAATTAGAACAAGCAAAGCCCCAGCAGCTTGCTCTAATAATTCTCTATATCTGTCCATTGTCAACTCAGTAAGTCTAGTGATGACACAACGACGTGTAGCTACAGCAGAGTCAATAGGTCTGGCTTCCATATTGACAATAGCATTACGACAACCTGTCAAG